AACCCTTCCGTGAACAACGATATGATCTCAACAGCCTTTTGGTCGGTCAGCGGGAAAGAAGTAAAGATCACGCGCAGTGACGACCCCAGTCACACTCCTCTGTTACAGACCACAGGTAACTGTTTGGGTGGACAAACATTTCGATCCAAAATCACAAGTTACGGCGACTTTAGAAATGGCGCAGTTTGGGCCAGTGATCAGTGTCTTGGAAACTGTACGGTTCAATATGGAGGACTCTACAAATCAACAGATGGGTTTCAACAGGCTAGTTGCCGTGGACACATCCAAAGTGCCGACAAGATCGGCTTCTGGTGTGACTGGAGTGATGGTGATGGAGCAGTGATGATGATTGGTGGAGGAGGAAAAGAATGTGGTCGTGCAGATCATGGGATTGGAATCACAGAAACTAACGAAGCTTCTTTTGTTCTGAAAAACCGAGAGGAATATGACTTTGGATATAATGCTAACATTAAAAACGCTCCAACCCAATCCTACTCGTTGAACTTATGGATCAGTTAGAAATAACCAGCTCTTAACTTTTCAAACTTAGATTATATTAGATCTGAAGAACTTTGAAGATATATTATTCATTTCGTGTTACATCGTGATACAAGTAAGATAAACATTTTAAAATGATTAGTAACAGCGCACCTGTTTCCTCTTACAGCAAAGATAAAATGGCCTGACCATCACCCCAGCCGCAACGCTATAATATTTTTACATCTTGAGATATTTTCTGGCAACAATTTAAATGATAAAAAGAACTTTTAGAAAGAATCATATTCACTAAAATGATTATAAGTCGCAACCACAACTTATCTTTTCAGGGAAATGTGAAGTATCCATTGATGATTGTTTAGTGCTGTCAGAAATGAAATATGCAAGATATGTTATATATCTCATAATTAATAAATAAATAAATAAATAAATAAATGAATGATGATTTAACAATGGACATCCACTGGGTGGCTATTCTTGTCCACTGTTCCAGATCGAGTTGGAATTTGGAATGTTGGTTATTTCATCAAAAAATTGCTGAAGCGTTATCGAGCGCTACATGTTTGATTGGATGAGCATAGAGAGAATAATTAGATGACTAAATTGATGTTTTAATAAATGAACATGTAAAACGAATGCAAAAAAAGTCCGCGTAAGACAAAGAAGTCAACTCATGAGAGTCATCAAGGGACTTGGAGTACAATCATTGAACAGTTTTAAAAAAATCGAACGAAGTCTAAAGTAGCTAGATTGAAGCCATTAATTGATTAGACACCCTCTTGGGGGAAAGGGGTTGTGAGGAAAAGATCTTGGGTAGGGGATTACAAAAAACAATTTTCATTTTGAATATCACTGCTCAATTCCAAATCTTCAACAACATCTCCATGCAACTACTAAAAAACGAGTTATCTTTATTCAGCTTCGTTCTCTATTCCGATCTTTTTGTAAGTTGCGCTTTCCTTCTGTAACATCAAATAACTCGAAATTCAGTACACCAAATTAACGCAGGTCACATTAGACAACGGAAAGCACAACAGTCCTTTTCAATCAATCATCACGACAATGAGTTCAATACAACAACTCCCTTTGAGTTCAAATGAAAAGATAAAAAAAAAA